GTAGCAAAAACGGAAAACGCGTCGCAAAAATCGGACAGAAATAACAACATAAGCCTTCGGGCTGGAAGAGATGTGGTTCGCACCGGGCTCGAAGCATCTTATCATCTTGATGGCACTCTTCTTTTCCTATATTCTACTTGGCGCATTGATATTCCAAGCGCTCGAAGCTACAAATGAAGACGTCGAAAGAATTGATATGACAGTTACCAAAGAAAGATTTAAAAAGAAGTATAATATTAGCGAGGAAGATATGAAAATCTTCATGCGAAAAATCGAGGACGTTATTGACCATGGGTACAGTGAGAAATGGGTGCGGAGGTGGTCTCTTCTGGGCTCGGTGTTTTTCGCGGGCACTGTTGTCACAACCATAGGTAGGGAAATTCTATTCTTCTTATATATTCAAGAAGAGCTTAAATTATATGAAATTACAGCGCACAGAGCATTCTGATGGAGCGCGTTTAACACATATCTGAGCGCAGACGAAACGTTAACATTATTAAGACATTAATACTTAATTTCAAATTCATAAAAGAGCATGTGCGTATTTTTTGTTGTTGTTGTTTTTTTTTTCCTCGGCTTTTTTTACAAAAAGCTTTTAATTTACTGTTATGTGTTGGCTAATGCGTTTGGTATATTTTACTTAATGTTGATATATTTTACTTAATATATATCAATATACTTTTGTGATAAGTCTAGCTATATTGTGAAATTAAATTGTCAGTATCTTCGTGTGACACATGTAGGCGAAAACGCAAAAGTGCCGGGTTGAAAAACCTCTGAAATAAAGAAAAGTTTTTGTCAATTCGACCATAAACATTATCCCAACCACTATCTAATTATCTCAGCCTTTCAATTGTCATCTACCCGGTTCAATTCTTAATCAATCCTGCTATCAACAAGGACGGTACTAGAATCGAGGTCTAGAATATATTAGKGAAGCCGTTTTATTCTTGAAATGGCATTCAATCATGGGTAATTCTCGGGTATGCAAAATGGACTCGAAACGACTTCAATTGCATTCAAACTCCATTGTGATTTTTCAGCTGTTTAGGGATGTTCATTTTGAAAATGAATGAGTTCTCATTTGCATATTGTGTTTCAAACGTAGGAGGTTTCGTCAAAAAGAGGAACTTACGCTTGTAGATAAGAGAGGACAAAGACTAAATCTGCGAAAAGATTTTTCAATTTTCTTCGCGTGAATAAAGGTCTGAATTACTACTCCAAGAGCGCTTTACTTCGCAGAGCTTTTGACCCTAAAAATTCTATATAAGCCTGGAGGTATAAAGATAAGATTTTAAAAGATCTTGGACACCTACGCTTTTTGCAATGCTTTTTACAAGCGCGCCTTTCAGCCGTAGAAGCGAACTCCCCTATCGTGTCCTACGCTACTGACAAAAGGCAAGCGGTTTATTATAAATCTAAATTGATTGAATGGACGTTTTTTATTGTTCTTTAAGGGTAACAATTTATCAAATGAGACCACATCCATTTACACTTTTGCGCAGTCTTAAAGTACTATGTTAAAAAGGAAAAAAAAAATCATCATTCTTTATAAACGAAGCTTTTAGAGTCTTATATATTAATACCTTGTAAGGTCTTTCTTTCCTTTCCAATCAAGATGTTAATCCTAATTAGATAAGTTTTGACTTCAAATTCAGACAATCAATATATAGCTTTAAGCCATCGAGCAATATTCTGTGTAATGCGTATTTTATTTTATTTTAAATATGAAGGTTTTAGATACAAATTTGAGCTCTGGGTAAAGAGGTTTCAAATTCGTATGACTATTATAGACCTAAGCTCGAATATATGATTCCTGAGCACCGGCCTGAGCGCAAGCTCTTAACCTAAGATCTGAAAGACTGGTTTAATCTGATCAAAATGTTTTAGGCATGAAAATGCCTTAGGCTTACRCGACAATATTTTTGATGATTTCGAAGTAGAGTCTAAGATGTACAAGATAGTATAAAAACAATTGAGTGTTTTTWTATATATATATAGGAAATCGATTAATTCATCGGGAAATGCATCATATATTTATATACAATTTTTCCCATTCTCCAWTTAATGCATCCACAATCATTTAGCAACTACATTCATCAGATTTCAATAAATCCTACAAATCCATCCAATCCATTCATTTCTATACAAATATCCAAAATCTCATCCAACCATCCATATATTTTCATAATTTTTGGTTTCCAAAACATATGCCAACCAAATAACAACTGTTTTATCCAACCGAAAGCCCACGGARTTTAGTTTTTTTTAAAGCGTTTTATTTCAWACATTGTTGTGGTACATARCTATTATTCCAATTTTGGTTTGACCAATTTAATCATGGTCGCACTTTAAACTTCACATGTGCTTTTATGGATAATTGAACATCAATACATTTATTATTGATTAAAGGCAAATATAATGTGCTTGTATAACAGCCTTTTGATTGTTATTAAATCGACTAATGCACACATCAGAAAAATATGTTCACGACAACATTATTACTGCGCTTTCCAAGCCTGAAGGTACTTGCATTTAGTGCCTTCATTTATCAATATAATCGATTTTATGTTGTCTTTTTTTCAATGTCATGGTATTTGTCAAAATGATAGAATTCTGACCGAGTCTCTTACTTGGCGCCTCTGCTCTCAAGAGTCTTTGAATTGAGTTATCAATTTAGATGATATATATTTGTGGCTTTTTGTTGAGCATTGTGTAGGTGTGTTAGCACGTCTTTTACGTTTTCAGCTCTTCACGTGCCTTTGCAATTCCTCTTAGGGACTGCGCAATATCAGGGCTTATCAGGAGGGGGGGGGGGGGTAGCATGAGAAACGAGCCAAAAAATTAAAAAAGTTAATTACTACACCCCCTGCAAACGATATAATTTGTTTATTTATTATTATTATTAGAGTTGTCGCAAATCGTGGCACGCTTTTCTTGAGACGTTTTCGAATCTGACTGTTGATTTTTCAGTTTCCAATTAAAGTTCGAGTTAGTTTTAGGCGTTGCCCCCTTTGAGCACATAAAATTAGATGTTGCCCCCCCTCTGGACTCTCAATCCCCCTCCTGATAAATATTGCCCAGTCCCTTAGTGATCTGTCTGCCCTTCTGTGCTGTGCTTTTCTCTAAGTGTAGTCCTCTCCTCTTCTGTCCAGTCCTTCCCTCCTCTACATCCCTTTCGGTTCCATGCAGTCCTTTCTTCTTCTTCCAGTCATTTCCTCTTATCATGGAAAATGATGAGCATTTTTTTCACAATTTTGTTTACAATCTCCTTTTCTCTATTATTGATAAAGCTTTCAAGTGATGATTAATACTTTTGATATGCACTCGCATAAAAAAAATCATTCAAAGTAGAAAGACCAAAAAATGAATAAAAAAAACCCTCTTGATATTTTCAACTATAGAAAAATGGATTCATCTGGTTTCCAGCAAATTTCACATTCAAAATTCCACCATTTTAGGTTAACCAGTAAATAAGACAGTCGGTCATTCATTTATATTCAGTCAGACACGAGTCATAGCGTCAGCGAGTAACTCAGCATACCTTCCTAATTTCTTCTATTTCTAAATGTTTCCAGGGTATGGTCACGTGACACCATGCACAGTTTCCGGTCGAATCTTTTGCATATTTTATGCACTCATCGGAATACCGCTGACCTGGTTAATGCTATCAACGCTGGCTCAGCAAATCAACCATTGGATCCACCAGGCGATTTCATTCATCTACGAGCGATGTTTGAATCGTACACCATCAAGAATAGCTGCGATGTGTACATTCATAAGCGCGCTGATAAGTACCGTCATGATCCTCATCATAGCTACGCTGGCGTACTTCCTGGAGGGATGGTCCTTTATTAACGGAATCTACTTCGGATTCATCACTCTGACAACGATAGGATTCGGGGATTTTGTCCCGCTGCATCCGTCGCCCGACCGCGATCCCGAGGGATATCCGACGCGCGTCGTACTATTCACGATTACAAGCATCATATATTTCACGATCGGTCTTGCTGTCGTGTCCAGTGTGTTGATATCGTTCCGCAATGCGATGGAGGAGAGATACATTGACGGGTTTCAGATCATTAAAGATCAAAGTGAAGAGGAGAAGAATAAGAGGAAGCTTCTGCCGCGCTAGTTGATAGACTGCGTTATTATTTGTCACGCTAATTGTTGATTTATGCTAACTAACGTGACGTTTCTAGACTGCCATCGTGACTATGATAAACTGCGTTACTCGTATCACGCAAGTCAATTAACTTTGACTGATGAACAGATTCTGCGTGACTTACGTCCGGAACAAAAGAAGCTGCTTTGAATTGAATGGGAATTGATATAAATTGGCTAAACTCAATCAAGAACTTAGAACATCGCGCAACAAAAATAGCAATAAGTAATGCAATACTACCTAAATAGTCTCCTTCACGGTTTCCATACGCCAACCTGGAAGGTAGCCGTGCCTTTACATCGAAGCGAGACAACCGTTGAGCGTGCAATGATAGATTGTAAATAATTATCTGTAGGTGTGAAAGGTTTCTATCATTGCATGCTCAACGGTCGTCTCGCTTCGATGCAAAGGCACGGCTACCTTTCAAAATGGCGCAGGGAGCCGTGCAGAAGACTACTCTCTCAACCAATCTTGAGAAGGGAGGGGAGGGTGGAAAACCCGCCCCTTACCCCTCAAACAAAACACGTGGCGTGGGTTAAGGAATTTTTCAAGGGTTGAGAATGCGTGTAACTCCTTCATGTTCGGTTTTTAAACGRGCCGTCAGTGCATTTTTGTTATACGTGTTAAATCCCTGAAARGTTTCTCCATTATTTAATGTTTCCATTTTTGCTTTTCAAAGTTTATTTCTATTTTTTGAAGGTTTGTAAATAGCATAAAGAAATGAAATGAAATCCATCTATTCTTCATTAAATAAAGACATTAGTAAAACTCCATTTATTGTGACATATTTATTCATTTTTTCCTTTATTTTTGTTCATTTAAATAGACTACAAAATTATAAAAAACACTCAACAAATATTTAACAATTTGCATTTAGTAAAAACCGTTTTTTTGTTCAAAGTTTAAAACAGCAATTTCATCATAAATAAATACGTATTTTGATTTTTTTGTTCATTTAAAAGATCCAGTTTTCATTTCAGATATTGTTCAGATAAAACCATCATAATAATAGAAATCGCACAGAATATAAAAATTTGATAAGACATTACTTTTGTTTGCACAGGCAACCTAACCTGGAATAGACTGAAAGTTACAGCAATTTATGCCTTTTTATTTTCAGGGGTTATTGTACTATTGCAAGTGAAAGCAATAGAATTGGAAACTATCAAAATAGATGCCATTTCTACTCCGTTTATTTGTAATAATTATAAGCCGGTGAAACAAAATCTAGGCGCATTTCGTCAAATAGATACTGTACAAAAGAATACTTGCTTATCAATGCTATTTGACCAATGACAGCGCGTAAAATTATTGCTCTATTGACCAATGACGGAGAGAGTAATATTTTGTTATAACATTGACCAATGATAGTGCGCCTACCATTGTTGTTACATTGACCAATGATAGCACGCGTAAACCTGCCACTACTGTATATTGACCAATGACAGCAAGCGTAATATTTTGTCACTACATTGACAAATAGCCATTGTTGATATATATATACATTGACCAGTGATAGCACGCCTTACATTTTTGCTATATTGACCAATGACAACAAGCATAATATCTTGTTACTACACTGACCAATGATATTGTGTGTTGCTATATTGACCAATGATAGGGCGTGTTATATTATTATTTTTACCTTTACATCACACCCATCTCATTCTATCTACAACATTGGGAACAGGTGTATTCTTATTTACTCGCCTCCTGAAACGCAAAAATAAACCACAAATCACAAATAGAACTGCCAGTCAGGATACTCTCGAAGCTCGGTCAAGTATGAGACATCATAATCGTCTTTAAGTTAAAATAAAAGTAAATCTCTCAATAGCCATACTGACTGAGAAAACCTGGAGCCTAAAGTGTGCTTAAAGGGGCTCAGSAGACGTTGTGACRAGTGCCTCGAAATTACAGAGTACTTTATCATTAGGAACATAGACWAAAGTCAAGTGGATGCCATCGAAATGGAGTGATAAGACACAAACAATGATTTTCTTAAGAAGAGTAAAGTAAAGAGTAAACTAAAGATGTAAAAAAAAAACACCAAAAGTGCGCAACATTTGCCATATTTGCTGCTTAAAAAATAGTGTTAATTAAACAATAGAATTAGCATAATTTAGCAATATTCATGCTACACACTCTGCGTGTTCTCTCTAATATAACGTGTTCTGTGATTGGCCAAAAGATGAGATTTGACGCGCAACCTCATTGGCTAAATAATGGTTCACACAGTTGAATAAAAGATACAAAAAACCTTGCAACTGAACGTTCAGTACGTCGTCTAATTGAAGCAAGATACAGCGATAGTGCTTACGAGTTGTCTAAACCAAAAACCATGTCGCATACATGTTGTGCGTGGAAATGGTAGTTTAGTTACCAGAATAAATTTCCAGGTGCTTTCATAGCAGTTCTCTCTCGCAGCTGTTACGAGTMTCGTTTCCCTGAACGAGCCTGGGAACGAGCCTCGTGAYGKCTGCGAGAGGACAGCAAATAATCCACATGTTAGTGCGTCCTTACCATGGATTTACATTAGTTCTTCTATTAGGAGCATTACTTGTAAAAAGAGCCAACGGAACACCGTACGTAGCAACTTTAGCACTCCTTGACGACCGTTCCGCACGACGATAATGTTTAGCGAGTCGTACGCAAAGGATGATGGATATTAATGAAAAGACTGCTATGGTTCCCAAGGACAGCCAGAGCGCGTTCTGGTGGAATAAATCGATATATTTGTCAGTGATAATTTGTTTTAACGTCCACACGACAACAGAACAAGACAGAATGCCATTACACCATACAGCAAGACACATTGTATCGCTGCAGAGTAAGGCACAAGGAAGAGGCAGAGTGCAGAGGATAGTGGCCAGGGGGGGGCAGGAGGCAGGGGTAAGGGGACAGGGGTCAGGAGGCAGAGCAAGACACATTGTATCGCTGCTGAGGAAGGCACAAGGAAGAGGCAGAGTGCAGAGGATAGTGGCCAGGGGGGGGCAGGAGGCAGGGGTAAGGGGACAGGGGGCAGGAGGCAGAGGGCAGGGACCAGTGGCCAGGTTTCAGTGCACACTTACCACTGGACTAAGAAAGGTTTCACAAAAGGCAGTCGTTGAGGCATCGTAAGCTTTCTTGACGGACGAGCATTCACCAACTCTGTTATTAACCTATAATATACACCTGAATGTAAGTACTAGTAGTTAAACGAATCAAGGAAAATACATGATTAATGAAAACAACAAAATGGACATAAAAATGAACAATAAACTCACCTTGTACATAGCATCTTTTAGATACTGATCAATCCAACTAAGAACTCGATTAATGTACGACCTCGCGGCCTAGCAATGAATGAATAAATTAATTGATAAACACACTCATTAATTATCCTAGCCAATCAGAGCGCGCGTACTATCTAAGCCATATAATAACTTAACTTAAATAAGCATTTACCTTATTGGCTAAAACTAACGCATCATTCTGGAGAAATTTGTCTACGTTGTGGACAGTCGCCAACACATTATTAATGCAATGCTGCAGGAAAACAAAAGTGTTAATGACATCTACATCAATAGCGCCATCACCGTCCGCATCGCTTTAACTCTCCCCCCTCAACATCCCATATTAACACCATCCACCGTTATTATCAGCCCTTCCACTAACATTAAATAACTTATGAAATTATCTCGTCCCCAGGGTATACCGCATGAAGTAATGCGGGAGAAGAGGCCTGAGGACGAGGTTACATATTATCATTAACATGACCAGTAGTTCTTCTTACCAAAGTCTCGTTTGCTTTTTCTTCTAATTTGAGTACTTTGGCCTTAAGAATGCTCTAAATAAAATAAGAAATTACGTAACACGGTTAGAATTAGMAACTAAAACCGTTGTTTACGTGGTAGTGATATTACGAAAAAGCACGATTTGTACTTACGACGAGCGTTAAAGAGGCGTCAATGGTGTCTTCTTGTATCTCTTCAAGTCGATTGGATAAGAATTCGAGATTATCGGCAATAGCCTAAGTAATTAATCAATGTTTATTTAGTTCATGATAATCAATCAATCAATCAATCAATCAATCAATCAATCAATCAATCAATCGATCAATCAATCAATCAATCAATCGATCAATCATTCAATCAAACAATCGATCAATCAAACAATCCATCGCTACGATCAATCACTACGATAAATCAATCAATCAACCTATCAGTCAATCAAGCAATCAATCAATCAATTTCATATTTACCTCGCTGCTTGACCTGGCTTGCGTCGATAAAAAGGACAAGTTTGAAGAAAATTGTACAATAGAGACAGCAACAAGCGGCAAACCAATCTACAACATAAATCATATCTCAAAACAAAATTCTATCACCGAACCTGTCAAACTAGTTATACCTGTTCTTTAAACTTGTTAAAATCAATGGAGTGTACATTGGCTTCAAGGGAATCGTTGAGGTTTTTACCAAGCTCTTCGGTTACTATGGAGACGTTAGCGACCGTTGCGTTGAGTTTATTGAATATTTCGTCCATTGGTGGGATTTTCTGAAAAAAAAAAAAAAAACAGAAAACAATGATTCCATTTCATTTCAAGAATAAAGAGGTTTTACTGTCAGTGGATATAAGTCTTTTTCACCACGACTCTCGWTTAAATTTATATCTAAGCCATATTTTAAGTAGTCTCCTCGCAGGGAGCCCGCCACTAAGAACGGCTGCGAGGAGACTATATTTTAAGTGTTTCATAAAATTTGGGTATTAGTTATCATGTACGGGACAAAACTCTAACAAAGATGATTTAAAATTGCTTAATAGCGACGCCGGTAACTATTTAGTTTGTTTAGGTAATTTTTATTTCATAAGAACGAAAGAGAAAGTGAAGACAGAGTTTTTTACTAACAAACGAAGAAGGAATCGCCTGGTTGATAGCTTCAAGGAGTGAATCAACGGACGGCCATTTCTAGATTGAGAAGTCATAGGAAAATACGTTAGTGGCTTGGGTAAAAGAATAAACAAAGTACAGCGATATACAACACAGTGAAGTGCGTCATGCACAGCACAGGTGAACAGTGCAGCATGCACAGTGAAACTAAGTGCAAGACAGCACAGCACTGGAAAATCRATAGCAAAGCGTGCAATAGTCTCCTTCATGGTTCCCTGYGCCATCTTGAAAGGTAGCCGTTCCTTTACATMRAAGCGAGACAACCGTTGAGCGTGCAATGATAGAWRCCTGTGAATAATWGTCTGTAGGTGTGAAAGAAGGTTTCTATCATTTCATGCTCAACGGTCGTCTAGCTTCGATGAAAAGGCACGGCTACCTTTCAAGATGGCGCAGGGTAACGTGAAGAAGACAATTGGAATCAAAGTGCGAGAAAGAAAATCTGTTTGCTTTAAAAAGAAAGTAATAAAGTTAACTAAAGAATTGTATTGCCAAAATGAAGCAATATCGGATACATATGTCAAACTGAAGTTGAAGATTTTAAGTAGAATCAAAATGAACTACGTACAGTGCAAGAAAGTAAATCTGTGAAGCAAAGTCAGGCATAGTGCTGCATGCTAGCAACAGTAAAATATTGTAAACCACAATATATGAAGCAATGTGAAGCATAGAGAAATAGTGTCCCAGTGCAATTAAATCGAAACTTAATGAGCCACTCTACGTGACAAAATGTAAAGCATGCGGAAACAAAGTGAGCATCAATAGCCTCAATAGTGCAGTGAATTAAACAGTGTTACCGTGAACAACAAAAGTGAAACATAGAAAACCACAGTGCGTGAGGCAATGCAAAGCATGTTAAAATAAAGCGAGCCTGAGTAGCCTCAATAGTGCAGTGAATTAAACAGCACCAACGTGAACAACAACAGTGAAACATAGAAAACCACAGTGCATGCGTGAGGCAATGCAAAGCATGGTGAAATACAGTGAGTGAGCCTCAGCGCAGAAGTAAAACAGCGCCACTTTCACGGAAAGCGACTGATAATAGTGACGCAGCAAATCAAACTGAAACGTACAGTCCAAGCAAACATAGGCAAAGGGAAGCACAGTCAATCACAGAACTTAAAGACAGTGACTGTATCGCCAAAGAAATAGTGAATGCAAGTCATGCATTCATAACATATGTGCCTACTGTTATGCTACAACATTTAGAGTCATTGCTCTCCATTCTGTTTATCTAAGACAGCAATGTCAGCATGATGGGCTCTCTGTCTTATTTTAAACTGCGAGGAACGATGGGATTATGCCTCTATTCACGACTTTCCATATTAGGTTCATTGACACAACAAAGCATTTAACCGAGGCGTCAAGGTATAGTGAGCCATAAAGAAAAGATCGGCGCTCAGTGCACCATATGACGACTCGATTCAATGCCTTGTTCGTGGTCAACGAACCTGAGTATGTAAAGTCGTGAATTGTAACAAAGAAATCCTGATAGCGTGACATAGAGTACTTACATCTCTATACGAGGTCATGTTCTGTATGTTAAATTTTTGGTCCAACTTCAAAAGCCGCCATATTGTTTCTTCTTTACCACACCCTCTGTATAGAAAAAAATGTTTGATTATATACTTTGATTATATATTTTTTGGCAGCCTAGTTTCCAAGCTCTCCCGCTCATCAATGAGCGTGTGACGCCACGTAATAGCGCGCAAAGCCTCCGTAATTTGCGCTCGCCCCAGTTTCAATTTTGCGCTCTATTTTCGTGAGTCAAAGTGTCTTGAAACAAGGATGCTTTTCATTTGCTTGAATACGCGTGTTATCAAGATTGAACTTGAACTTGTTGTACCTGAGGATGTCAGACATTCGTAGGTCAATTGAGCCATCGTCGTGCAACGCAGCTGATATAGGGAACTGGTTACCATGGACTGAAGGATCATCAATAGTCTGAAACACGTCAATATTTCTTGTAATAAACACATTAGACTATTAGACATGAAGGTGTGAAAGAAGTCAAAGCATTCCCTTCTTGTAATTGAGACAAACATTGTTATCAAAATAACT